ACGCCACGTGGGGTGGGCCGGCCGGCGGGTTAGGTGGGCTCCCCGAGGCCCGGCACCCAGCGTCGCGGCGGCGCTAACGGCGCGGCGACGGTGCTTCTTGTCTCGGCCCAGCGCTCCTGGCGGGACTCACGGCTGCTCAGCAAGTGCCGGCTGTCTCCTCCGTGTCCCACACCGCGGTCTACACCCCGAGCCCCGACATCCCCACCACCATAGTCAACATTCCCCACCCATCCGTGATCTCCGCTCCGCTCCTCAAGTCGCTGCACTCCACCGCCCCGGCCGTCCTGGCTGCGCCCGCTCCCACCCAGCCCGTGGCCAAGGTAGGAGGGCGAGCCCTGGCCGCGGGGCAGGCTCCGTGGGGCCGGAGCGTGGGGTCGGCTTTACCCCCGTAACCTCACGCGTGGTTCTTTTCCCTTTTTTTTCCTTTTTGGCAGAAGAAGGGCGTGAAACGGAAAGCCGACACCACCACCCCCACCACCACGGCCATCATCGCCACCAGCGGGGAATCCTCGCCCTCCGCCACGCTGCTGGAGGCCAAGGCCGCCAAGATCCCCGCGCGACGGGAGAGCGGCCGCCCCATCAAACCCCCCAAGAAGGATTTACCGGATTCGCAGCAGCACCAGACATCCAAAAAGGGCAAACTATCGGAGCAGCTCAAGTACTGCAACGGGATCCTCAAGGAGCTGCTCTCCAAGAAGCACGCGGCCTACGCCTGGCCCTTCTACAAACCCGTCGACGCCTCGGCCCTGGGGCTGCACGACTACCACGAGATCATCAAGCACCCCATGGACCTCAGCACCATCAAGGTGGGGCTGGGGAAAAGGGGGTGGAGGAGCTTTTTTCGGGGGCGGGGGCTCTGTGGCTTTACGTCCCCCCAGTTGAGGGCCTGGGAGCTCCCCGCTCACCGTTTCTTCTCCCCGCAGCGAAAGATGGAGAACCGGGACTACCACGACGCGCAAGAATTTGCCGCCGACGTCCGGTTAATGTTCTCCAACTGCTACAAGTACAACCCGCCCGATCACGACGTGGTGGCCATGGCCCGCAAGCTGCAGGTGAGCGGCGGGGTTGGCGGGTGGCGGTTTCCCCCCCTCCTCTTCCTCCGCCCGCCCGCCCCC